GACATTCAAATAGTGACACTGCCAACCATGCTGCTCAATGATCTAACAAGAATTTAGTAATATAGTTATCAGTCCTACACACTTGTTTTATATCTTAAAGAGGGTAAGATTAAACATATCAAAACAGAACAAAACAGTTAAAAAAAACAATTTAAAGAAATACAGATTTCAAAGCAAGTCCACTGGAGATCTTCATCGTCTATCTAATTGTCTCTAGTTTCTTCCAAATAGTTGTCCCCATCTTCACACCCATTAAATACATACTGCATATTATAGAACTAATCAAATCATTACAGGATGATAAAGGCTTTTTAGGTCTTCAAGATCTGACATTGGGGAAGCAATAATAACTACCATCGCATTTCTTATTCTCTTTGTAGTAGCTATCCTTATCTTTACATATGCTGATATTGAACTTAAGAAACTAGACTAATATCACTCTGATCAGTGAATAATAGTATTGCTAGATTTTATATCATAATGCTACAACATTAGCATTGGGTTTCTTAGTGTCTCTTCTTCTTCAGAGTATCTGTTCATTACATATTGCATTATATAATCTGTTCCCATAAATAGTTTTTAAAAAAAATCTTCTCATGCATGAATTTCTACATGTATATCTATCCTCTCTGTATTATAGGGGAAAACAAATCATAATGAGACAGCAAAACAAATTCCTAGAAAAACATGCAGTGAAAAAGACACATAAGACCACAATATTAGGTGATCTACCGTAGTTACTATGTTTTCTCTTGTTATTTTCCATAGTCTTGTCCACATCATCGGGCTTAATATTGTTGAACATAGTATTACCTAGCTATTTTTATAATAACACAACTTTGAAAACATTGTAGGACTTGAGAGCTGTTAATAATTAATTCTGGTATGATATCTTTTACATCATGTCATCTTCAGAGCAGTTGCCTCTACTTTTAGGGTTGATACTATCAAGCATAACAAATTCAAATAAAATTAGCCAAAACCACGGTCTTATGAATCAGATTCAAATAAGATCAGTCATAGTAAGACAATATAAGTAGTACAGGATTTCAGCTCAAGTTAATAGGAAATTAAGGATAGTTACCATGGTATAACCTGCTATGTTTGGGTCAAATGTCTGTGACCTCAAATCCAATATGAGTGGACAGACCAGAACAAATTAAATTCAAACTAAACAGGGTGATAAGACTACTGTGAATTTAAATCCTGATACACTATTAACAATGACCTCTGCCTTTTTTGGTAGTGTATCAAAGCTATCTATACTAAAGCCTATAGCTTACCGTCTCTGCCTCATGTCTGCTACTCCACTTTACTGCTATAATTTGTCCACCTTACTCCCTCTTTCCACTGTCTGCCCTGTTCATTGAGGACTCTCTGCCACTGTTGCTGGAATGCTGGTATCCCTTCTTCTCTTTCTCTGGAATGTCCTTCAGCACTCTCTTGTAGGGTTGGTTTGGTGGCCACGAACTCCCACAGTTCCTCCTTGTCTTGGAAGCATCTTATTTCTCCATTAATTTTGAGAGAGAGTTTTGATGGGTATATGAGTCTTGGTTGCATATTATTTTCTTTCAGGACTTGGAATATTTCTCCCCATTCCCTTCTTGATTTAAGAGTTTGTGTTGATAAGTCTGTTGTTATTTTGATAATTGTCCCATTGTAGGTAATCTGCTTTTTTTCTCTGGCTGCTTTTAATATTCTGTTCTTTTGGTGGATTTCTGGAATCTTGATTATTATTATATGTCTGGGTGTAGATCTGTTTTGGTTGTAGGTAGCTGGTGTTCTGTATGCCTCTTTTATCTGGATATCATTTCTTTTTGCTATACCTGGGAAATTTTGCTTTAATATATCTGTGAATATTCTTTGTATTTCATTTTTGGTTGCTCCTGCTTCCTCACTCACATTTTTTATTCTTAAGTTATGTATCCTTTTGTCATCTTCTAGCCTTTGAATTGTTTCTTTCTGGTTCCTTGTTATTTTTAAGAGGTCTTTTCTTTCACGATCATATATGTTAAATCTCTCTTCAAGTTTCAAAAGGCTGGCTTTAGTTTCTGTCAAGGCATTTTGCCAGTGTTCAATGGAGTTTTTAGTTTCCGGGTAATCTCTTTGGATCTGTTTCATGTATTCCAAGTTATGTTTAAACTCTTCTTTAGAAGTATCTCTTTCTTTTCTGGTTTCCTCAGTTCTTCCATCTGTGTTCTCTTGGGTGGGGATTGTCATTTCTTTAATTAATCTCTTTATATCTTGCTTCATTTGGATCAGGAGTACCGCTTTAAATTCATCTATGAGGTCATGGAGGTATTTTTTTTTTTATTTTGGCTGATGCTGTGTCCAGTATTGGATGGTTACTGTGCTTGTTCTCTTCAGTGTTTACTTCTCCTGGACTTATTGTCTCATGTTGGGCAGCTGGAGTTTTTTTTTTTATTTCTATCTCTTGTCATATTTCTGGTTTCTTTTAGACTGGAGTGTTCTGGGGGTCTGTGGCCCTCTCCGTATTGCTTAGGGCCTTTCAGAAATGTGTTGACTTGAGTTTTTTGCTGTCCTCCCCAATTTGTTGTTATCTGGGGTAGGCAGGGATGCAGAGACAGTGCAGGCTAGCCTCCAGCCTCTGTGTCAGTCAATCTGCAAATTAGGCTATACTTTGTGGGTGTCACAGAATCGTGACTATTTTGTATCTGCTTATTGGGTCCCGACCAGAGGCTTGGTTGAGCCCCAGCAGGTCCTGCCAGTTTGCTCTGTGCCAGAAGCAGCTGGCTAATGTCACTGTGGCACAGGGCTCTGCCCAATTCCCAGCTGTCCTCTTCCAGACCTCTATGTGCCAAGAGTGACTATGTAATGTCCCTGCGGCTGCGGGTCTGCCCAATTCCAAGATGTCCTCCACTAGTTCTCTCTATGATGCTGATGCCAATACAGTGCTGGGCTCTGCCCACTTTCAAGATGTCCTCCACCAGACCTCTCTATGCTAGGGGCGACTGTCTGATGTCACTGAGCCGTGCACTCTGCCCAACTCCAAGATGTCTTCCACCAGACTCTGCATGTTATTGATGTCTGTGCAATTTCAAGATGTCTTCCAGCCAGCCACAGCAGCCGTGGGACCCAGTCCTCCGTACTCACCAGGACTCAGTGCAGGTCTTCCTCTTGAGTCTACTGCACACTACACCGCTTGCCTTCACTGCGTTCCTGACACAGTGTGGAAGGGTCAGAAAACTGCACGGTGCCCGGCTTTGGAACTCCAGAGTTTCTCACAATCTCCTCCGGCACAGCCGGACAGCCCTGGCTGCTTCGCAGGGTCCCAGGTCTCAATTTCCAGCAGTCACCAAAAGCCAATACAATTTTTCCCCTTGGGTCCACTGGTCAGTTTGCTGCATTAAGGGCACGAGATTTGCAGACTCCCGTTATCAGCCATCGCAGTCTCAGCACGACCTTAAATCCTCCAGCCATGCTGTCTTGGTTAAAAAGAATCATTATCCATTTGTTTGGCCCTCTCCATGTTGTCATATTTTAGCATCTAATAGGATTTCTCTGGAGAGACTCTCTGCCCAATCCCCTAGCAAGCCACCATTTTTGAAACTCCTATCGAACTGTTTTGACAAGTAAGCTACTGCTTGAAAAGAAGGTCCCTTTTTGTGTCCTAGTACACCTATAGCATTGTGGCCTTGACAAGTAATGTATAGGATGAAAGGTTGTGTGGGATCAGGAAGGGTAAGAGCTGGAGTTTTTGGAGAGCCTCTTTTAATTTATGAAAGGAGGCATGTATGGGCAGTGTAGGGTCCAGGGGTTCTGATAAGGGACCCTTAGTGGTCTTGTAGAGGAGTTGAGCAAGGGCTGCAAAGTTAGGAATCAGAGATGAAAAAAATCTGCTAAACCTAGGAAAGATGTAACCTGTTGTTTAGTTGTGGGCACCTGGAGATCTCGAAGAATTGCCTTATGATCTGTGGTGATGGAACAAGTGGTGGGGGTGAGAGTGAGATCTAAGTATTTGACTTTTGGGGAGGCTATCTGTGCTTTAGCAGGAGAGACCCTGTATCCACGACTAGCAAGGAAATTAACAAGACTGGCTGAATGGTGTATGGCTAACATGTGGGATGGAGAACATAACAGAAGATCACCTATGTACTGAAGAAGAACACTAGGTTTGAGATCAAGTTCTGTGAGGTCAGTAGTGAGAGCCTGACTAAAGAAGTGAGGACTATCTCTGAACCCTTGGGGGAGCACTGTCCAAGTAAGTTGTTGAGACCTGAGAGTGTCTGGGTCAGTCCATGTAAACGCAAAGACGTTCTGGCAATCAGGGTGTAGGGGGATAGTAAAGAAGGCATCTTTAAGATCTATAACTGGAAAGTGAGTGGTGGAGGGAGGGATATGAGAGAGCACCACTGGGTGAGTCGGGGTAACAACACTGTTAATTACCCTAAGGTCATGTACCAGGCGATAGGACCTATCAGGCTTGAGTACTGGGAGAATGAGAGTATGGTGGGGTGAATGGGTAGGTTTAAGAAAACTGTTGTCTAAAAGGCACTTAATTATGGGTTTAAGTCCCCTTAAATTTTGAGGAGCTATGGGGTATTGGGGAATGCAGGGAAAAATTGAAGGATCCCTGAGATGGATTAAAACAGGCATGGCATGTGTAGCCAGAGTGGGATTGGATGTGTCCCAAACTATGGGGTCAACCAGAAAAGGAGAAAGGGGAGGGAATAGCTTTGTGATGTATTGTGAGGCTGTTTGGAGGATTAGGGCTCTGGGGAGAGAGAAAGTAAAGGAAAAATTAAGCTTTTGAAGAAGGTCTCTACCTAAAAGGGTTGTGGAACATGTTGGGATTACTAGGAAGCAATGGGTAAAGAAAAGAGTCTGGAATCGACATGGGATAGGCCCAGTTTTCAGAGGTTGTATAGGCTCACCTTCAATGCCTACAACAGAAATCACGGGCTTATTACAAGGTCCTGAAAATTCAGGAAGTACACTATAAGTTGCCCCCATATCTACAAGCAGAGATATTATCTTACCTGAGATCACCAGTGAGGGGCTCTGACAAGGTTACTGGAGTGGGGGCTGTGAGCCCTGAGCCCCATCAATCTTCCACAGCAAGTCCAAGCAGGCCAGTCAGTGACAAATCTGGCATTGATGGAGTCTCCTGTGAGGGAGAGTGATTAGAGGATGGCTTACCCACTTTCTGGCAGCTAGGACAGTCACTCTTCCAATGGCCCTTATCATTGCAGTATGGACAAGGTCCTAGAGGGATGCCAGGGTGGGGCAATCTTTGCCCAGTGTCCTTGTTTGCTACATTTAAAGCATGGTCCAGGCGGGAGTTGGGCAGCCACACCTTGTTTCAGATCTCTTGTCCTGGGATCCCCGAATGCCACTGCTAAGAGATCAGACTGATATTTAGCAAACTTTAATTTTTGAGCTTGCTTTTCCACTTTAAAAATTTTATCTCTATTGTTGAAGACACAGAAAGCTAATTTAAGAAGATCTCCCTGTGGAGTTTGAGGGCCATGTTCAACTTTTGAAATTTTGCATGAATATCAGGAGCACACTGGGAAATAAAATAAGAGTTAATAACAATTATCCCTTCATGAGAGTCTGGGTTTATATTAGTAAACTCAATTAAGGTTTCCCAAAGCCGATTTAGGAACACAGCTGGGTTTTCATTAGCCTCCTGGACCTGTTCTAAAAGTTTTTTATAGTTAGTATGTTTGTGAGCAATCTTATTAAGGCCCACAATTAGACATTCAATCATCTTATGTAATTTTTTTAACCTTCTCCCTTTTGATAGTTCCAGTTAAGAGCCTATTCTAGCACTGCAGTAGATCCAGGGTCATTTTCAGCAGTGTTTGCCTTATGTCTGCGATCAGCTTCTTCTTGAACTGCCTGCCACAGCTGAGTTCGCTCTTGTGAGCTGAGAGTGGTATTTAGAATCACATAAACATCCTTAAAATGTAAATCATAACAATTAGTTATAAGTTCAGATTGCCTAATGTAATTCTGTGGGTCAACAGAGAAGCTACCTAATTTATGGGTAATCTGAGATAAGTCAGAAGGGAGAAAGGCACATGTATATTAACAAGTCCCTCGGGGCCAGCTTGCTCCCAAAGTGGTAGCAGAGATTCAGGAGAAGATTTTGGAGTAGATGGCCATTGGGCAGTGAACCATCCAGTAGGCATGTGTGAGCAATTATCTGTAGATTGGCCACAAAGTGGCTGCCGGTTACCGTGGAACGAGGAAACACTGGCAGATGGCATCTCACTGTGTGCCTTGCAGGGATGAAATTGGTGTCCGTGACACAGTGAACCATCATGTGGTCTGCAACAGGGTGGCTGTTGCTGATCACAAGAGGAGCCACAAAGGGGCAGCCATTGACTGTGAGATCCATCCCAATATGGCAGCACCCTGTCACGTGGCAGAGGGCTGCAACATGGCAACTGTTCCTGGCACAAGCTGGAACAGTCACCAACCAAGACCTAGTATGGTAGGCTGGAGGTGAGATGCTATAAGGGACAGAGAATTCTCAGGAGCATAAGAAGTCAGAGACTGGAAGGAAGCACTAACAGAGGGTTTGGAGCCACTAGGAGAGTTATGGGCTCTGGGAGAGAGAGGGGAAAATGATCGCATGGCGAGAGATAACTGCGACACAGAGGGTTTAGAGCTGCTGGGAGAATTAGGGGTCGATGGAGGAGAAGATGATCACATGGTGGGAGGTAACAGCGAGGAATGATTTTGAGGGTACGCAGGCGGCGACTGATAAAAAATTGGGGGTATTTTATCGAGCAGATCATGAGGGTAGGAGGGGAGAGTTTGCAGTGCAGCAGAGTTAGCTAAAAGTACCTGGGTGGGAGTACAAGATTTAAGGAGAGACAGGCATGTTCTCATCACAAGGAAAGCTAGTACATAAGGGATCTCTGTTAACTTGTCGCCAGCCTGGCAGAAATCATACGGATTTTTGAGACTATAGGGGTCAAACGTCCCCTCTCTGGGCCAAGGGTTGCCAATAAGTGGGTAGGTTGGCCAAACCTCCTGGCAGTAAAAAGTTAATCATTTAGTTTTTATGTTGCTTTTAATCTTAAGAGTATGTAGATTGGAAATTAGGCATTGTAATGGCGTCTTTTGGGAATTAGAAAAAACATTTCCCATGACTAATTCAGGCAAGAAACAAGCTGTGGTCTGGAAGGCAAGCCGTCACTCGTTCCATGGCACCAAACGGTGGCTAGGGTTCCAAAAACTCATATATTCCAGTCATCACTGAGAGATTTACAAGTGGAGTCCATGTGGGGTCAGTAACAGTTCAGCCTGTGAGAGCGTGAAGCTCTGAGGGACGTGAGGGTCTCACAGTGTGGGTGGTCCAGAAAACTCTGCCTTGGGCTATCCGAACCCAAAGGATGTGAGACATTTTCGAGTGTGGACGCAAAAAGACCCTGCCCTGGGCTGTCTTAAGGACGTGAGAGCATCACAAATCCACGCGAAGGGGGAGAAAACTGGCCTGGGGCTGATCCCAGTGCCAAGAATTCTCTGGAGTTTGCTCACCTCAGATTAATCAGGCTGGTGTTGTGTGCGGGTGGTTGGTGACAAGTCAAGCAGGTCCTGGGAGAGGAAAAGTGGAGAAGTAATCCAGGATTTAATCCAGTTCGTGAATCGGCTTGGGACTCAACTAGGTGTGTCCCAGTAGTCAATCACCTGCCGATGGAGTCATGGCACCAAATGATAAGATTATATCCAAAAGATGAGAAGTGTAAAACAAAAGATGCCTTTATTCGGAGAACACGGAGAGAGAAAACCAAGACTCCCCCAACCACTGGAGTCCGGCTTTGTCTCTGGTGGACATGTGGCATCAGGGGTATGTAAGTAGCCTTGATTTGGGGTGGATCTAAAGGGGCATCAGGAATGCATGGGTAGCCCATTGCTCTTGGTTTGGCACCATAGGTAAATTCGTAGGGGGCGAGGAAGATGGAGTCACAGGTAAATTCCTAGGGGTGGGGGGATAGGAGCTCCTTGGTTCCAGCTCTAAAGCTTCACTGGCTACAGTGTCCTGTCTGGGCCAAAACCCTTTCACCAAGAAGATGGAAGCTGAAGAATAGAGTCAAAGATGCAGCACAAGACCAAGGCTGAAGACCTGGAAGCTCACTGTAGAGTCTCAGGTGCAAGGATGCATGGGGAGGCTGAAGAAACTGAAGACATGTCTAAAGATGATGGCAAAGACTAGGATCTTCCAAAACAGGCTCATTTCCTTCTTCTTATCCTTTTTGATCCATCTAGACTGAAGCTTATTGGTTGGTACCAACCACCACTTGGGTCTTCTCTCCTCAGGTGTTGGCCTACATATCAATCACCCAGAGATATTTCCAGAACTGTGCTTTACTAATCTATTAGGTCATTCTTAATCCATTCAAGTTGACATATTATGATTAATAGTCACAGTTACCATAAAATCCTTACTTAATAGCACAGGTGAATAAATAAGTATATAAATAATAAAGAAAGAAAGTATTCCTTTGCTTTCCTGGTAAAGTATAGAGCCACACACAAAATAATAAAATTGAAACTTGCTCTTGTCTGAATACTCCTCTCCAACCAAGGTCATGTGTTGAGAATTTAATCCCTAATGCAATTGTATTGAAAGTTAGGATGAGTGGGAAGTGTTAGATTTAATGGACTAATGTTGGTAGGATTTCAGGAGAGAGTTCTCTAGCTTTTCTGCTATGGAGGACACAGCATCCCCCCTCTCTGGAGGACATATCAACATGGCACCATCTTAGAAATGGAGACCCAGTCTTCTAGTACATTAGCTTTTGACTTCCTGGCCTCCAAACCTGTGAGATAAAAGATTTGTGTGGGGCAGAATAGGGACTGGAGATTGAAATCAGGGCCTTCACACTGACTATATCCTCTGCCCTTTTTACTACCTTTTGTTTTGAGACAGGGTCTGGTTAAATTACTATATCTCCCAGGCTGGGCTGGAACTTCCTCAGCCTTCCAGAGTTCCAGGATTATATCCATGTGCCATCATGTCCAGTTTAAATCTGTCTTTAGTAAATCACCTGTGCCTGCTCTCTCATTTTCTCCAGCATCAGGTTACATGCGGTTGACTCTGTTCCTTGTGTCTTCTCAGAAAACTTTCAGGATCAAGCAATTCCTCGACAAGAGACAAAAGCAAAATTGCCCCATTTCCTTGTGGATTTAGATAAAAACTGGTAATAAAATCAGGTGCAGCTTCAGGAGGAGATACCGGAGAACCAAGTTGTGTCTACAAGAATTACAAATGAGATGACACAAAAATTTATGTTGAATCAAGGTCATTACCATCTTATTATTGCTATGCTCTATGCTTATCACCCTAGTAACTGTTGTAGCCTGGTTCTAACCAATGTGCCTCTTTCCTGTTCTGTATGTGCCATTTCAATAGAGATTAAAATTCCATTTCCAGTAAAGACTTAAGTCTCAGCTCCTTGTAAATCCCCCTTCCCCTCCCCATTCTTTTTAGGTTAAGCCTCCATTTCCCATAAAAGCCTTAAGTTTCAGTTTCTTGTAATCTCCCCCCACCCCCTTCAGCCTATCTATAATAAAATGTGCTGTTCCTTAAGAAACGTTTAACTGGGACTGAGGATTTAGCTCAGCGGCATAAGCACCTGCCTTGCAAGCAGGTGTCGTGAGTTCGATCCCCGGTACGGATAAAAATGAAAAAGACAAAAAAAAAAAAAAAAAGAAAGAAAGAAAGAAAGAAATAAACGTTTAACTACAAGGAAGTTACAAGAGATACCAAGAAGCCCAGATGTTATCAAACTGTGTCAAAGTTCACAACGTTCCTGTGGTTTTCAGTTTTAAAAACCCAACCCTTTAGCTGTAAGGTGCGCAGTCTTCCATATTGGCTCCCAGAGGCTGTGTCACCAGGCCTGGGCTAAAATAAAGCCTTTGCTCACTAAATTTTAATTTCTTGCTTCCTTGGATTTTATTCCAGGGTCTGAACTATCACAATTGGGGCTCATTTGGGTTGGAAGCAAGACCCCCAACTCAATTCTGAACACCTAAAAGTAAGTACTCTGGAGGGACTAATTAGACCATGGTCTATTTGTACTTCGAGAGGGGACGCCCTCAATTTGGGGAGTGGGAACCTCCCAAGGACAGAGTCAATTGGTTTTTTGG